CGTAGCCTCTAATATTACTCCATGTGGGATCGATATCCAGGACTCTATTAGAGCCCTGTATTACTTGAGCGATACGTATACTTGCGTTGATAAGTGTGACTTTGCAATTGTTGAATATTTTATACACATCTTTATCAAATTTATAACCATTGTCAAGTTTTTTGCGCCGTTACCGGGGATTTAAATCTTTTACTAGCAGTATCAAATTCTTGTATTTTTAAGTATATATAAAATCGTTGTCAGCTCTTAATTTACTTTTCAATTTGACCAATTGAATTGTTAAAGTATGTTGTGAAACATATGATCCGGGAAATGGAGTATGAGTTCTACAACAGAATGAGAATCATATTTAAGTCCATGAAGGAGTATTTCGTTCACGGAATTAACTGCAAATAAATACGGAAATATACATTTTTGGGTATAAAATTGGAGATTTTTAGGGTGATAGACTAGAATCCCCAATTTGATCTTATTGTTTAAGAACTAAAGCGAGAGTTAGCCTTTAGGGGAAGGGAAGTGGGAGCCAGTATCCTCCTAGCCTAGCCACAGATTGAGGGACTAAACCTAAGATTTACCAATTATTTTTAATAACATTGAATCATGGTAGAGAATTAGCATTGCTTATATTTGATACAATACAAATTTAAACCATTTCTCTCATCTTATTTCACCAAAAACTCATTGTAGTGAGAAAGATATTTTTTCATATTAGAAAACTTCATCACATAAACATAGATTAGTAGTTACTATTTTAAACTTTGTATTTAAATTCTACTAGTAGTTAAAATTTAGCTTTGATAGTGTTTTAAACATTTAAAATTAGTGACAGTAATTTTGTTTTATTTCTGTGAATTTCCTAGTTAATTTATTATTTCAAATTTAAACCTTCTTCGTGGGATTAATATTTGAGACTTAAATAGAAAGTCTTATATTACTTGATAACTATACATATACTTGTGTATAATCCCAGCATTAAGTGCTTAACATTATTGTTCATAAAATACCACATCAAATTTTTGTCACCGTTGGAAAGTGACAGTGACTTTATATATGCTTAAAAATACAAGAATTTGATATGGTGCAAATGAATATTATGATGGAGATGTTGCAAAATATTATTGCGACAGGCATGATAATTGTTTCGTTGGTCGATGGTCAAGAATTCACCAGTATTCTCAATAAATCACTTGTAAATCCAATACCTCGGGCATTTAAGGTACAAGACGTTTCTAAAAGAAGAATTGAATTAATTCCTATAACAACGCAGCCGACTTCTCGATGTGTTTCAAGTGACGATGAACGTGTAAAAAATACTCAATTCAAAACTTCATCAATGAAAAGATCAAGTCTGTCATAGCCTCAGAGCAAATTGAGAAATTAGTGAGTCAAGGTCACCCTTATCTAGCTGAGTATGATCAATTCTCTTATCCAAAGGGAAACTCAATACCAAACTTTAATAACTACAATGGCAATGGTAATCACAATCAACATCTAGCGCAATTCAAGGCATCATGTAGCAACACTGGAGGCTCAGATGCATTGTTATTTTACTACTTCATTAATAGTTTGATAGAAAGTTCTTTTGAATGGTACACAGAGTTGTCAAATGACTATTAAAGTATTCACATAGCTCAAAATGATGTTTATTAAGAGATTTGTCAGCGCTACAAAGAAGACAATTATTACCGATTTTGCTTTGGAGAAAAGAAAGAAGAGTGAGTTGGTGATAAACTATATCACTTGTTAGTGTAATCTGAGCATGAAATGCAAGCAACCGTTAGAAAAAGAGCATGCAATTCAATTATTAATGAACAACATCGATGATAAGATAGTATGCTATTTATGCATGACTTCTATCTCCACTTTTCAAGAACTGCTAGACAAAGTTGTCAAAATTAAGGAATTGAATTTGTTAAGGTCTGAGAGTAATTTCTATAAGCTAAAATAAATAAAGGTGCAGACTCAGAAAAAGCGAAGCACGCATCACTTTTTTAAACTCTGATAAAGGAAAGCATCCAACTTATGAGAAGGTAAGAAAAAAATAGTCAATTAACTCTAATCCTCAGTAAAAGTTATTTTTAAGAGGAAATGATAAGCTATGGAACTTTGATGGCGGGAGCTGCCAAACTAAAGGCTACATGCTGAAGAATGAGTATATTCTTCTCTTAAGGAAAAAATGAATACAAAATATTCATTTAAAAGAGATAGTGTGACAAAGTTATTTCATCAAGCTCTCAAAGCTGGTCTTGAATTGCCAGAATGCAAAAGGCCTAAATACCGACTTTTGGCTGGTCTTGAATTGCCAGAATGCAAAAGGCCTAAAGAATCAAGCCAAACTAGCAATCCAAATTATTGCCCATATCATCAGGTAGTTAGCCACCCTATTAAAGACTGTTATGTCTTTAAAGATTGGTTTAAAAGAAAATGTAGAAATGGGGAATTTATATTGTCTGACAATGTTTTATTTCACCCTAAAAGAGAGTGAACAAAGATGGTTACGTTCTCTTTCGTACCATCAGCTAAAGAAAATATAAAAGAGGAGCCAAATCAAGATGAGGGATGGAAAATTGTGGTCTCAAAAATAACTGTGAAGATGTTAAAGCAGTTAAATGACATCCATGGTGTGAAGTGGAAATCTCCTCTAGAACCGGAGCTCAAGTTAGGAAAAAGACCTATGGTAGACACATCTGTCTCTTCATCAACTCAAAAGTCGTCCAATCATGCTAGCTCATCTCGACATAAGAAATACAAGAAATCAATCGAAGGGAAGAAATCTAAGAAAACTGAAATGAAAGAGTATTAATAATTTGGAAGAGTATCATCAACCTGCAAGAAATCCTATCAAACTTGCAGAGTTCATGCAAAGACTCCAAATTATTGATTTTAACGAAGAAGATAAGGAAGTAACATTCCCTGTGGAAACATGTCGAGTTATATCAGTGACATTGAACATTCTTGGAACTTCATCTCAAACCTCTATGGTGTCCGATTCTTGTCAGATGGCCTTACAAACAAATGATAGTTAAGAAGACTTATGTTTTCTCAAAGAAAATGAGCACTTATCATAGACTAAAGGGGGAATAACAAAAGAAACTTATATAGAAAGCACATCATCTGAAAGTTCTGAATTAGATGAACTGGTAAAAGTTCAATTGTGAAATAGTAGATATTACATTCATCACAAAAAAGGGGCCCATCAAATAATGAAAAAGAAAAAGATATTGTGGTCATTGAAGATGTATTTATAAAATACCTGAAGAAGAAATCAATTTTAAGTAGTCCCTATCGACTACAATATTATGTCGTATCTCAAAAAGTTTCCTGAATGACTTAGTGTGCATGATGCTCTCTTGATATCGAAAGAGCTCTACGAAACTTTGATTCAAGCTCTCAAAGAGCTGGAAAAATATGAGTCGTATTTTGCTCAAAGCTGTATGACAAAATTCTTGCAAGTCTAGGACGTTCCAACAATCACATTCTATGAGGAAGATCTCATGCTTGGGACGTCAGAGAATAATCGTCCGTCGTACATTTTAGTTGATTGTGATAACACAAAGATAGACAGAATCTTGATCGATCCAAGTTTTGCCGTAAATTTGATGAAATTGAAAGCACTAAGATGGTTGTATTCTGACATCAGCCATTTGTAGTATGAAAATTGATGATTCATGGCTTCAATGATAAAGGCCAAAAAACTTTAGGAGCCTTAATTATACCACTCAACTTAGGCAATTATATACAGAGAATAAATTTCATATAATTGATTGTGGTACTTCATTTAAAGCTCTCCTTGGCCGATCGTGGATTCATGAGTACGGGGTCGTTCCATCAACGAAATAGTAGTGCATGAAGTATCTAAAAAATGGACAAGAAACCACGATATCTGGTAACATTTGACCCTTTTCTGCTCATGAAGCTATAATATGCGAAGATGCAAAGCATTTTATGCCAAATGAGTCAAAGTCTTCATAGTCTACTAAAAATACGGAGTCAACCTCGATGACTGCAAAACAACTTAAAGGAGGGGAAAAGGAAAAGCAAAATGAAAAGTGGAAGACAACATCAACATCTCCCAAAATGAAGTATCTTCCACCTAAGTTGAACAAGGTCATTTCCAAAGCACAGTCACCATGTTATCAATAAATAACTTTCATGAGCCAATGTGTATGTTATCAAATTTCATGAGCTTAGAAAGCCTGTCATCTCTAAAGCATAGTCACCATTTTGATTTGTCAACTTGACCCGCCGACCTCACCTGACATTGTGCTAGCTGTCATGCACCAATTGCTAGAATGAACTGTCGATCCCTCAGCAAGCATCCCTTGGGATCGACAAACTGTCAAAGTAAACATCATCATTAAAGAACAAAAATATTTCATGTCCTTTTCTGAGTCATCTGATATTCACATCATAATTGTTTTATTGAACACCGTGGAGATACTTTGTTCTATACAACCTTTAATTTTATATTTTTCTCTTTCTCTATGTATGTTCCCTCAAGAGTAGAGTGTCATTTATTAAACTCTCCCGCCTTTCAAAGGGGACACACACAAACACGCAGATAGAACTCTGAGAATTTATCTTCTCCTTCCACCACACTCTCTCTCTCTCTCTCACACACACACACACACACACACACACACAAGGAACCGAGAACTAGGGCTTGGAGAGCGCTAATCCATCATTTTCCACCTCCTTCATTTACAGGTCTTCCCCGTGTTGTGTGAGCTTACAAATACTATGAGACCTTAAACCCTAAAAGTATTATATGTATATGTATATGTATATGTGTGTGTGTATATATATATATATATATATATATATATATATATTATCTAATGAACTCCTCGAGAATATTTGACCATGATAATCTAAAATAGAAAGTTCACCATTGAAGCAACTCCACAGAAGAATACCTGCTTGGCTTGTTAATCATTTACAAGTCTCCGACTTTCCTTCTATTGAGTTCACATCTTCTGACCTAAATCTTTGGCCATCATACTGAATCAACTAATTTTTGTACCAGTCTCAAATATCTTAGTGGTGAATTAATTACTATTTTAGTGCATCTTAATTGATTGCTATTATTTTTTACTTTAACATTGTCAGAACTACCTGATTTTATTTGTGGAATTTCTAATAAGACAGCAGTCCTACAATAATCATTAGGAGATATTAAATATATAAATGAGATGAGGCATTTAATGATTGAAGAAAACAGGCTTTTTGTTAAACGTACTCAACCAAGACAATCAATGCATAATAAAAACTTCAGTATTACCTTTTTGAACCGTTAACACCCTGAAGTCCTATCATAGGGCTAGTTCCACTGTCGGCGTTGTTTTCAGCGACATAGTAATGGCTTTGTTCAGCACTTCTAGCCAAACGATATAGACCGTCTCTTATGCACAACTTAGTTCGCACGCCAAGCTGATAAAAACAACGGAAAGATAATTTTAGCGCGGCTAATAAAGCGCCAAAATAGTCCCTATAACTGTTGACGTGAGTCCATTTTAGTCCCACAATCTATAAAGGTGCCGAATTAATACACATAATATTTAAACTGGCACTGAAATAGTTCGTATAGAGGAATATTAGAATCCTAATTTAAAGAATATAAGAACTTATTTGATACTTCTTTAAACCCAGGACTAAAATGGCTCATTGTAAATAGTCAGGGGACTACATATTTTGGCATTTTACTTGATTTTTTAAAAAGAAGTGCATATATACAAGGATATGAGTTGACCCTTGCATAAAAGGTGATCAACTTAAACCCAAAAGCTGTAAAAAAACATTCCATATTTAGACTGTAAGCAACAAAGACTTAGAAGATTGAAAAATACCTGATCGATAATCATCTGAAGCTGCTGAAAATTAGCTGCTGTTAGAGACATATCATCAAGAGAAGTACCACTCATGCAAGAATTTCCATGTAAACTTGATGGGCCTATAGTAACTGCTGGTAGATTTCCACTTGTATAGACTGATTTTTTATTACCTTCAACTTCATCTTCAAATTTATATTTTCTTTGAAGAGAAGAACTTGCAGCCGCAAACTTCTGACGTCCAAACATATTTTCGTTTTTCTCTATCGCCACTGATGTCATGGAAATGGGCCAGGGTAGATTCCCTATGAACTGAGGGGCATGGTTCGATGGATTGTTTGAAGTTGCATAATCAGACAAAGCACTGGATTCAGCAACTGGTGAATTAAGTGTTGGACAAACATGTTGCAGTTCAAGGATGTCGCTCAGCTGGGCTTGAGGGTTGTAGGAATGTAGGCAGCTGGAAGCATGAGACTCCGACAAAAGGTTTTCAATTGAAATAGCTTGAGAATAACAAGGTTGAGGAGCTGAAACGACGGAAGAAAGAAGTTCCGGACTATGAAAATTTTGTATGAAGCCACAACCACATAATGAGCATTGTACGCTGGATCCTAAAGTTGAATTGACTTTCTTCCCTGTGGTTGTGTGAAGCTCCTTAAGAGTCATATTAATCTGCATTGCTCAAAAACATAATAAAACAAAACTTTCAAACAGTCATATGGAAGAAAATGTAGTTAGTTTTACATAACAAACCATATATTTAGTATTTACATATCAAACACCTAAAATTTTCTTTATAGATTTATACCACAAATCTTTCATTTCACAATGTAATCAAAACGTAAAACGCAATGCGATGTAATGCTTTTATTAACTAAAGTGCTATAGATTATATAAAAATATTAATGTAGTTTATTAATAATTACAAAATATAAAGTATATCTTACAATTTGATATAAAATAGAAAATAATGTGGTGTAATATCTAATTTGAAAACAAACATTAAGGGTGAATATGCAAATTGAAATTTTAAATAATTTCTACTAATTTACTACAAAAATTAAAAACTACAAAATTGTAAATAAACTATTATAAATAAAAAAAAACTAAAATTTAAAGAATAAATAAATTAATAAAGTTTCAAGTTTCATAAAATAAACTAAAATAATTCTAGTCCTTTATGCCCTCTCACTAAACTATGAATCAAACTGATCGCCTTGTTCATCGCTTCAAAGTATATTTCAACGAAGTGAAAGGGTATCATACACTTGACATCACCTTACATGTGAAATGTTTTTTAAAAATATTGACATCACATAAAAAAAATATAACTATTTAACTTTTAAAAAATGAATTCATTTTGAAAAATCAGGTAAATTTTTTTATGAGCTAAAATATACGCCAAATTTCAAATTTATTTTATTTCAATTGAGTTAATTTCTTAAAATTTTATGCCTCAAAATGAATGATCAATTGTAGAGATATAAAAATTGAAAGTTATATGATTTATTAATTTAATTAAACCGAAATTATTTACTAAATCCTTGCTGTTCACCTCAAGCGCCATTTATTCGTCGGTGCACTCTAACGGGGGGTTTCGAGAGCCTCCGAATTCTACTCCCACCTCCCAATCCTCTTCCCTTCTCCTCTCCCTCACGGCAGCGACTCGGTTACGCTCGGCAGAGGAATTCCGCCAGAGCAGTGAGGACGAGCGGCGGTCTGGGAGCTATAGTTCAAGGTAGGGACTGTGAGGGAGAAATCTGTGAGTGCAAGCCCCTTTTTCACGCTAATTTTGACATTCTCTTCCTTTCCCACGTCGTTCTTCTCGGCCCTAGAGAACCCACGCCTCTAGTACTCTAGTCGGAGTCGGGATCGTGCTCAGACGCACGACAGCGAGCAACAATCGGCTAGGTTTGACAAAATCGATAAGCGCGAAATGGATTTTATTAACATTTAAGGCTTTTATTTTTTTTTTCTCTTACTTACATTTTGAGATTTTTCACGAATCACGCATCGCATGGAAAGCCATTTTGGTGTTTGGATCTCCGGAACGGATTCTCACATGAATTCAGGAAAGTTAAAGGAGTAAGCAAAGTCTGTTAAGAAGAAGAGTTAAAAAAAATTCACAGCTTTGGAGAATGGCTAGTTGCCGAGAAAGCTATTGAATGTATGTTTTAGCAAATTAATTATATTTTCAGTTCAATCACTTTATCAACTGCAATATCCTGAATTCTATATAGTTTAAGATTTCAGGTGGCATCCAACGTCTGACAAATTACTAAAGATAGAGGTGTGAGTAACTGTGCTAAATTTTAGTAATCTTCTTTATTTCAAATTTTATATTTGACTTTTATGTATGCTCTAGTTCGATCAGATCCTTCATATTGTTAGATAAAAAATATATTCATGATAAACATAATTAGAAAAGATGTACATGCATGAAAGCTATGCATGAGATGAATGATTTTTGGATGGATATTATATGTAAGATAGAGATGTAGGAATATATGTATGATGTAAGAGATATGCATGAGATAAAATATATGAATGATATAAATAAAATACTGTGATTTAAAAGATGTGTATGATAAGTAGTTGCGCAATAGAGTAAGTATGCATGTTAATAGATGCATGAAGATATCTCGGAATAATGAATGAAATAATTTATATGAATGCTTATATGTGCATGTTCCGAAGAGGAATTCACCTATAATGGTATAAAAGATATTAAATATCGGTCAGAGGCGATGAGATAATATTGGTCAGGGGCGAGTAAACCAGAGTTTAGCTCTCCAAACAATTGTGACGTTCACATTGGTAACTGCTGTGCCGATATGATAATATCGGTCAAAGGCAGTTAAAAGTGTTTCCACTCTAAATAATTGTGATGTGTAGTTCACTAACCTTATGTCGACTGGAGGTGACGAGATAATATCGACTAAGGGTGTATAAGATTTTGTTGACGGTGATCCTCACAGAGATAAAAATGTATGTAAAGAGTGCAAAATAAAAGTAAAGTTAAGATAAATGAATACAAAAGATTAGTATATGTTTATTATATCATTGATACATACATTAACATATATAGGATTTCTTATGAAATATTAAAGTTTAGCATATTAAATGTTTCTTTTTAGAGATATGAGAGATCAACATGCATATTTTATTCTTTTTCTTTGATTACTGTGGTTTAGACATGTGAGTACTCCCGATTTATTTTTAGGTAACTCATTATGTTGCTTTAATATTATTTTTAGGTTTTAGACATTTGAATAAGATGAATAGAAGATATTAAATATGTATAGAAGACAATAACAACAAACAAAAATGTAAAAATTTCTACTTGTTCATTTTAATTTTTTTCTCTAGTGCTTCTTTCATGTAAAACTTGAATATTAAACTGTTTGTGATAGAAATATAACAACATAAAATTTTTTTTCTACCGTCTGGCTGTTCGTTCTTGCCCTGGTTAATTCCAAGTTTCGGGTTAAGTCTTGACAAAATATTGTGAAAATTTTGAAGTTTAGGTGTTAGATACATAAATACATAAGAATTATGTGGTATGTTTGTAAATCTTACAAAAATGAAGAACACGAGTGAAATACATAAGTTGTCCATTATTGGATATCATATGTTAATGAATTTGATCTATTACGTCAGCTATGCCGGGCATAACAGAAGGTTGAGAAATTTAAATTTGTCGCACTAAGCTAAATCCACAATACCCTTAGCTTTAATAAGAAAATAATGTGTACAACTAGGCTATTCCTTTTTCATGTCTTTGACTAACATCTTGATTTTTGGACAAAATTACTAGATGGTTCTAGAATTTTAGATTCATGATTATTATGTTATAACTTGGTATTTAATCAATGTAACAAATAATAAAATAAACAAGTGGGGTCAGATAAAAATAAACAAAAGAAAGAGCACATAAATTTTATGTGGAAATCCCAAGAAAGAAAAAACTACTGACAGAGAAGTAGAATTTACTATGTCAAAAAAGGTATTACAAGTGGAGAATATATATACGAAACAAAAGAAAGATATTTATAGTTTTAACAATTTCTTTTTAAGGAAAATAATTAAAAGAGAGAATAAAGTAATAACACACGGATTGTAATATAAGACTATTATAAGCTTGATCTAATGGTTGAAACCAACTTCAGTTCGTGTAATCATAATTTTCTTATGAGACGATAAGTGCGACTCACAAAATTCAGGCCACAAGTTTAGCAATCTCCACCTTAACACAAATTTCCAAATAATATAGAATTAAACTTTTTCCATTTTCACAAAGCTCTAATGATCATGAATGAATACCAACCAAGTTAAAACAGTGGTCAAAACTGGCTATTAGAACTACTTTAGTCACATATCCGTAGGATTATCATGGGTACTGATCATGCTCACCATCATATCACCACGAGCGATAACTTTACGAATGAAATGATAACGAACATCATTGTGTTTAGTTATCTCATGAAAAATTTGGTCTTTGCTAAGATAAATAATAATCTGACTATCACACATCAGTGTGATTATCTTCAAATCTTCGTTAAACTCTTCAAATAGACGTTTCAATCAGAGAGCTTGTTTGCAAATGTCAATAATTACAATGTTCTCAACTTCAGTTTTAAATAGTGCCAATGTTGTCTGTGAAGTAACATTCCAGCTAATCACACAGGTACCAATAGTAAACACGTATCCTATAAGTGATCTCCTTCTAACAATATCTCCAACAAAATCTGAAACAACAAAGCCAATGACTCTATCTGCAGTCCTCTCAAACTACAAAAAATATCATTTGTTTCACATTAATACCAGATGATCCATTGAGCTAATTTGTAATATTTTTTACCCGGATTATTTATATATCTACTAATTCACTGGTTGTATATGATAAATCTGGACGATAACATTCCATAGCATCTATGAGAGATCTCACTGCATTGAAATATGAAACTCAAGATATATATTCAATCTCATCATCATATTGTGAACAAAAATCCGATGAAAGCTGAAATACACAGTTAATGAAGTACCAATAGGTTTAACATGCTGCATATTAAATATAGACAAAATTTTTTCAATGTACTCTTTTAAACTTAAAAATAATTTGTCTGAGGTGCAATACTAAGTATTTTCTTTGTAGTTCTCAAATCTTTCATCTCAAGTTAAATGCTAAGTTGAGTTTTGAATGTCTTGATATGTTATTTATCCTTAACAATTATCAACATATCATCGTCATATAAGAGCAAGTAGATAAATGATTCTTTATTATTTTTCTCAAAGTAAACATAAATATCATAACTACTTCTAAAATCATGAGTAATCATGAATGAGTCAAATTTCCCATACATCTATCAAGGAGATTGTTTTAAACCCTAAAAAAATTTCTTTAACAAACAAACATGACTTATTTTTTTTGTAACTATGAAAACCTTCTACTGCTGCATATAGATATCCTCTTCAAGCTCTTTAAGAAAAACTATAGTCTTTACATCTAACTGCTCAAGCTCAAGATCAATCTTAGCCACAATACCAAGTAAAACTAGAATTGAGTCATAACACCAACTAGACTTGGTCCGGTAACACTCTCATAAAGGCATTCTACACATGCTTGTGTCAGGAAACTCTAAAATTTTTATTATATACATTAAAAATGAGCTCTCATATTGTTTAACAAGGGATAACTAACCTGGCCATGTCTTTTGCTCTTTCTTAGTGGTCTTAACACGGAGACTATTTACAAATTTTTTCATGGATTATTTTGTTGAACCTTTGATAATTTTATGTTGTTATTAATCTATCATAAAGATTTGATTGCACGAATCTCCTCTTTACATATGTATCTTGTGGATGAGTTATGCATATGTTAAAGTGGTATTTATAGTTTAACCGTTAAGTGACACCATTTGTTACTCCAATTTGGATAAATTTCTCGCATCTGTTGATTCATTGTTTCAAACAATCAGTTTTGTTCTCTATTTTCTTAATTTACTGTAAACCACTTCAGGTGAATACTATCATTATTAAACAACTTTAGGTTAATGCTGGTATTATTAACCAATTTAAACTATCAACGACAATGATTTTATTCACATTGAGTGTTACTTGCCTACTTGAAAGAGAAATTTAGTTGGGATTCACATCTTATGGTTACAGAAAAAACTTTGGTTTAAAGGCATTCTTCATTATTTCTCTTATAAATTATTTGATCACAATTCATTTGTATGCTTAGAGGCACGCCTAACATTGTAAAAAATCTATGACAATCATATATCCTATGCAATAAAAATATTTATTTTAATGAATTGCTGACTACTCTTGACTACTTTTGATTTGGTATGTGCCAGTATTTATGAGTCATTCTTGGTCGTATCTTGGATCAAATGCCTCCAATTGTCACTAGCCCAACAATTTTGATTAACCCTCCACCTACTCATATAGTTCATAAAATCCATGCTCGTGGGTCCATGTCCTCCTATTGCCTGGGTCACATAGAATCCTAATTCAATCTCTCTCCATTATTTCTAGTGTTAGCATTTCAAGCCCAAAGATATTTTGGGATAAAACTTTAAATTATTATATACTACAAGGGCAAAAAGTATACAAACACCATCCAAAATATATTTGAATTGAGTGAGAAGGTTTTAATATGGCCCATTGAAGCTCATTTTTTTAAGTGTTGATTCATTCACCACATTGGCTTTATTATCAATGTATTTCAATTTTAATTCTTTTGGGGCGATATGAGCACTCAAATCCAACACCTTTGATTCATTCATTACATTAGTTTTGTCAATGTAGTGCACTTCAATTCTAAATTTTTTAGAGCAAGGTGAGCTCTTTAACCCAATACATGGATTTTAAGGGAGAATGAAGCCTTGTTTAAATAACAATAATATTTGTTTTAGATGGAAGAAAAATAAAATAAAATGATACCTACCCGTCGATCGCGTATAGGCTTAGCATACAACACCCCCATTGCATTGTCTTCGTACCATCTATGCCTGACATTGCTTGTAAGCACTCGTTACGCCCGCGAGCCTTCGTCTCCGCTGGCTTGACACTGTGCTTCTTATTCACATACGCTCGCATCTTGAGACATTCCTCTGTGATAGCATCTCCTCAGCGCCCTCGCGCTCGACCCTTCCAATAACGGTCGATCCTTGTGCTCATGTTGCCTGTGCTCGACATATTCACCACACTCACACGGGCGTTCCCTATGCTTGACATGAGCATTCTGCCAGGGCTCTCTTGCTCGACCCGACCCTCGTAGTCCACGTGCTTGACGAGCTCCTTTCACACTCTTTAGTTGCGTTCACCGGCCATTTTGTTTCTTTTCTGCAGCCCCACTGCGCTTGGCGTTCTTTTGACCTACGGGCTTCCCTTCCTCTGGCCCGATCTACGTGATAATTCTGGTCCAGGGGTTTGCGGTGGTGCCTTTGCTCCTTTTTTGTTGCTACTATAACACTCATTTTAGATATCGTGCTTTGGACTCCCTCTCGCTTTGTTTCTCTCATCCGCATCCATTTCGTTTAGATCACCAATTGCTCTAAGGTATGTCTACTTCTCCACTTGTAAGCCGTCTCTTTTGGCTGTGAAGCTACTCACATTACTGGGACTTTTCCTTCTAACTCTCCTTTGCTGAGCGTTCCCAGCATTCTTCTTTAGGTTTTTACGGGGTGGTTGGTCCTCTTCTTAACTCTATATATTCTTAGAATGGCTTGGAGCTACTCATTGAATGTTGACTTTTTCTTGTCAACATAAATCAACTATCTTATTAAAATAAGGAGATCTATGAATTAGTTGTGCCGTTTGCCTTTTGCCTTATTGTTGAGTTGTCCTGAGCCTTGTAGCATGTCTATTATTTGCAAATTCTTAACTGATTTTATTTGGTTGGGGATTATTCTGTTGGACTGATGAGTTCTTATCATGTTCTTATCAAGTTGTCCCAATAATTCAATTGCAAATGGCATTTCTGTCAGTAAATTTATTATGTTGATATCTTTCTTATGAATATGTTGAAGTGGTCAACTTAGTTTGACTAATTTGTGGATTGTCTGCTACTCCAATTTTGGTGGTTTTTTACTTTTTTTTTTTTTGCATCTTCAGATTCACTATTTTTATCACTCCATTTATACTCAGTTATATCATTTTTGATGATTTTGTTTTTTAGGGGATTGCTTCTGCAGTTTGGTTATCACCATCAATGGCTATTGTTTAACCTGAATTTGGATGTGTTTGAAGGAAACTTGGTTTAACACCTCATCTGATGGCTACTGGTAGAGATGCGTTTGAAGGCATTTCTCTTCGCTATTTCTTTTGTAAAGTATTTGGTCACAACTTCTCATAATGCTTCAAGGCTTATCCAAAATTGCATAAACATTATGACTATGTGAATCTTCCATTAGCTGCAAACCGTTTCTTTAATGAATTGGTGGTTGTTTTGATATTTCTCGTGGGCTTAAAAAATTGAACACGACTCTCTTGAGAAAGCACACGGGTTTGATCAAATTCCTATAAGATAGATTGGATTTTATATAAAATATTACTTAGAGATTTTATGTTCGTTTTACTGGAATTTTATGTTCTGATTCTAAATTTCTCATAAGCTTAAGCTTTGGTTGTTAAATTTATTGCTAATAATTCATTGGATGAAGATGAAGAACATTCAATTAAAATTAGCCTTTAAGTGTTGAATATTTAACGAATATTATCAGCAAATTTTTATTTCTGATTCAATCAATTTATCTATCATCTTTAGCTTAGAGTGGATGGAGGAAAGAGGGATGATGAAACCAAATAAAATGTCATTGTTTCATCATATTTGGTTTATTGTGAATCATATTTTATTTAGTTAGAGAAAATAGTTGACCCATTTTGACCAAAATTTTTATCAACTACCTTAAATTTCATTATTTTAGAGAATTTTATAGACCTAAAATGAGTGCTTGTCTAAGAGATTAACTTCATAGTGGTCTTAATTAATAAAGAGTTTTGTGTCATATCAAGTATATTATATAGTTTGCCATTAAGGGATTTAGAACATTTAAGAACTTGCGGACTTTGACCACAATCATAATTTAATGATGCTATTTTACAATAAATCATCCAATTAGAGAGCTTAAGTTATAATTGTACTTTTTATGGTGCAAATTGGCGACAAAATCATACTGTTAGATGATACATGTTACGTTCTTGCTATCATGGGATCTTCGAGAACGCTCATAATGATGTAACGAATATGACATGAACAACTGTTAGCGTAGATTAAACTTATTTGCACTCTTGATAAATTTCATGTGGAAGTGAATTGATTATTTCTTTAAACATAGTAGTGGAAAATTTTATATGAATGTATTTTTTTAATAATTTTTTTTTAACTTTGGTAATTTTTTGGTTTTCTATTTTTATCTAAAAATAAACTAAAAATAATTTATTTTAAGTGTTTTGTAGTAATAATGGAGGTCCCCTCTAGTTGAGATTTTTATGAACACGGTCACTATTGGAATGTTTGAATGATTTTATTTTATTGTTTTGGATATTGTCAACTCTGCCTACTTAATTACAGAGGATTGATATCATGATTTGTATATGATTTGAATTTATTTGAAAATTGATCATATTATAGATCTCATCAACTCTATTATTATACATAGAGAATCAAGTTTATAGATCAAACTTCTTATTGCATTTTGTGAGCATAATCGCATTGATAGTTTTCATTTTGAAATAATTTTTCTTATAAGTGATTTTAAAATCCATATATACATGGCAGACAAAAAATGATTATTATAGATTTTACAATTAAGTTTTGGATTGCAAATTTGCTTGACTAAAGAACATGCTTTTGAACTTGTTTCACAATATTCATTAAAAGGTAAAAGTCTTGCTAATTCTAGTCTTAGAGTAATAAACTTAAAAAGATAGGACTTATGATTTTGTCTTGTAAACAGGGCAACTAATCCAAAAACTTTTTGATTCGTTGTTAACCCAAACAACCACTGGAAAACCAATATTATTGCTGATTTCAAATAGAAAATTACGATCGATTCACAAAAAAATTGAAATTGCAACAATTGACAAAACAAACCCACACTAGGGCTGGATCAAAGGGGGTGTTGGTGGGATGTGATTGGCGAAGATTTGGGCTTCCTAAGATGTAGCAAAGAGTGGAATAGTTGGGCAGCAACAAAGTGGAATGAGGTGGGCTATGGCGGCAATATAGGATGGTTGGACAACGGTAGCATGATAAGGTGACAAAGTTGGTAAAGTTGAACAAAATTAAAGCTCATATTCACCATACCACATAATGTCCTATAGAATTGACTAAGGATTTTCACATGTTCATATGAAGTGATGATTTTAGGTACGTCAGGAAGATCTACTATCTCTTTGAAGTAAAGATCAACGAAATATGTAGTTTTCATCGTCTTGTGACAAGATATAAAATATGCCATCTTAAAGAATTATTCTACAACCATAATAGTAGAATTTTTGGATCTTTGTGTTTGTGATAAGCCCACTATGAAGTCTATGCCAATATTCATACAACTCTAAGATAGAAAGAGCTGAATAGTGATTCGTATTATGCCTTCAAGTCTCAGTTAAATGACACAACCTAAACTGTTGGACATGCTTATCCACATCTTGTGCCAATCTAAGACAATCGAATTTCTTTTTTACTAAGTAAAGAGTCTTATTCTTGCTGAAATGTCCTTTCATTTTTTTTTGTTGCTTTCCTATAAAATACTCTCTAAGCGAAATCCTAGAAATTAACGACTTATGAAAAAAAACATATAATATTAGATCCGTGATATTACTTATATGGTTACACTTGTCAATGGGTTCAAATCTCTTGGAAATCCTCATCAATGACATATAAATGTTTCAACATTTTAAAACCAACTACTTTCGGCTGCATAGTAATGATCAATAAATGGCGGTGGCATGAACTTGTTATGGTTCCCTTTGCACATGAGCATAAAGTGGAAAGAGGAAAAAAACTCAATCTGAGAGACATGTTTACGCTTTACCTTACTTTTGATTGATCATGAATTGCAGGGCCTCGTGATTTGTGTAAAGATTGATTCCCTTAGCTAGCAGGTAATAGCTCCAATGGTTGAGGACTCTCATTGCAACATATAACTCCTTGTTATGGGTGAAATATTTTTGTATTGAATCATTCAACTTTTCACCGAAGAATGTGATGATGTGTCCATTTCAGCTTAATACAACTCCAATTTTTATGTTAGAGGCGTCACACTACCTCAAACATTGGATTAAAATTTGAAAGGTTTAGAACAATGATTTTGGTAGCATGCTGCTTCAATGGATCAAAAGTAGCTTGTGCCTAGTCTAAGCATAAAAACCTATCCGCCATGAGGAGCTCTATTTGTGATATTGATATAGGACTTACGTTCTTGATGAACCTCTTATAGAATGAAGTCAATCCATAAAACTGGAGCACTTAGGTAAAAGACTAGGGCTAGTCTGATTGAAAATAGTCTATCTTCATTGGGTCTATCTCAATGTCAACTATTGAAATAATATACCGAAAAGATTAAGTTTGTGCTGTTAGAAAATGACTATTCTTTAGGTGCCCATGTAATTGCTTTTTCTGAAGGCTTGAAAAGTCTTTTAAAAGTGTTGCGAGTGCTTTTTTTTAATGATTATATATCAAAATATCATAATATTAAGAATCATAAAATTTTTAATGAATGCTCGAAAAACCTAGTTCATATCAACCCCTTAAAAAGTACTCTGTGTATAGGATATGTTAAATTACATGTTTGTTTATTTATAAGAATCATTCTCATCTTGAAAGCAATGACATTTCATTGTTCCCCGATTCTCATTCGAATTTGATGGTAACCATTACATAAATTAAATCTTAGAAAAAATATTAGTTCTACTCATCTGACTCAATATATCGTCTATTCATGGGATTGAGAATCTGTACTTGATGCTGATTTTATTTACGACCACCCACTATTAATAAATATATATCATGATCCATCATTTTTGCGCACAATCAAAGCTGATATAACACATAAATTGGTATTCTAATAGTCTAATTTTCCCTCTATCCATCAAGTCCTCTACCTACTTTTGCATTTTCTCATACTTCATGAATTGCATCCTGTAGGCTAGTTGGTTTTCTAGTATTGATTCTGGGAATCGATATGTAATATGCTAAATCTCTCATGGTGGACGTAATCTTGATGATAGATTGCCATTCATATCATCTTGAAATTCTTTCAATAGTGTTTGCATTGCCTAAGGTATTATATCTTCCTTTTCACTTCTCTCCAACATCACCAGTACTAGTCACATTGGTATTTCTCTTATAGTTAGTAGAGATGTAGTATGATGCACTTTAACTCTCATATTTGCCTTAGCAATCATCACAATAGGTTCCTTCGAAAGCAGAAGTGCTAGTGTTTTCTATTCTTGATAAATGAGTTGGTGTTCTTATGACAATGAAAATGTGTTCCCTTGTCATACTTCTATAGGCAGTATAATAGAATGTGAAAAACATTTAGAGACGCGATTTCATACCACACATGCTCCTGTAGCTTGTCTTGAATGGAAAAATTTTATTAGACTGATTTTATTCCCTTATATGAATCAAGTTAAAGAGCACGACTAAGAATGTTTATGGTGGTGAGATTTATCCATTATCTGAGTACACATTATGTTCTCACAATTATCTCCATCAATAATGAAGTTGCACACCTTCCCTTTTACAGTACAACAATTACGAAAGATGTGCCAAAGCCAATGTTGATTTTTTAATGTTTGGTCTGAAGGATTCGTTGAACCAGAAGCTTTCCATCATAGGTGAGGAGCATGTGCTCATCCTCATTTTCATTATCTTTTGAATTTCTACTATTAGTTTTTTTTAATTATTTTATGCTTAGTAAAAGAAATCACTCTCATGTTTGAATAAATGGTGACAAGTTGTCCAACTTTATAACATTTGAAACACTTTCTAGCTAGAAAGATTTTGAGGGTACTGATCTGATCACTCTTTTCTTTTTCATGTGCTAATATTTTCTCACACAGAGCAAGATTTGATTATTTTGAGGAAGTACCCTTGCTGCTTGAACCTAGGCCTGAGCCTTGTTTAAAGGGTGGAGTAGACGTTATGTCGCTACGTTGTTTCTCCACTTTTAGGGTTAAGGGTTAAGGTTTGTGCATATTGTGAGTACTAGCATGGTTGCAACTACATTAGTTAAGGTTTGTACATATTGTGAGTACTAGCATGGTTGCAACTACATTATATTAATAATAGATGATTGTCTCATTCTTTCAAAATACTGTGCTATAGTGCTCTTCTCTGGTTCTACCAACTCATTATGAGTTATTCATACTTAGCTTTATACTCCTCCATGGATAAGCTCTTTTGTTATAAATAGTGAAGCCTCAAAACGAAACCCTTCTTGTAGTGTGCTAGGAGATATTTGTGTTGCATCTCATTCATCTTAGAGTAGATCATGTTCTAGCTATTTACGTCCTCACAGGCACAGACACTTTTGATTCTCTCACCACATAGAAGTGCTTTGCTTTAATTCTTCCCTTTGCAGAATGTCTTTGTACTCAAAGATCGATTCCACAGTTTAAAGCCGTTCAATAAACTCTTTTAGATTCATATGACCATAAATATCCAGTAAATCAATATTTATCTCAAAATCACTCTCTCTTCTTTTATACTCAATATCAAATTGGTGAGATATTGGTTTCTCATCACTTAAAACTTTTTGGTGGAAGGAGTTTTCATCTTCTACATCCGATTAGCCACCAGTATAGTTATGGGTAGCTAAACTGTAATTTAAGAATTTCTCGCTGCATATCATCCTTGGTAAGCTTTTTAATATTTCTTTGGTGCTTTTCTTTGTTGGCATGGTAGATTTCCTTGACTTGGTGTTTCGGCCAAGGCAGAGGTGGCAGTTTTTGAGTGGCTAAAGGTGAGAGAAACTAGGGTTATGGTAGAGTAGGTATATTTATATGTTGGTAGATGGATTAGCTTATATGACTTTAGTTTAAATGAAGGTTAATAAATTCCTAAAATTTTAGGTTTTATATGGCTCTAATACCAAATGCCATTTATCCAAAACTCCTAGTGTTATTTCAGGATTAAGAGGTGGGGATCTTGTATCTAAAAGCAAAATTTTGATAATAACAATGGTATGGAGGAGGAGGAGGAGGGGAATAACTATTATGTGAAAACAGCTGATGATGATGTCGGGGGTCTACGGATGTAGAGGAGGATCCACCTTTTATTCCTAATCAAGTTGCAAACACACCATTTGCAAAAGGAAGATGATGCAACTCTTCAAATAGGAGAAATTCAAAGAAGAAAAACCTTTAATGTTATATATATACATAGCAAGCAAACAGAAAACCCTAATTCATCTCCTGGATATGGTAAATAGCAGCACCAAAGGGGCCCTGCCAGTTCTTGGGGTAAAATCTCTGAACCAGCCTTGAAATTCAATCGGTCGCAGTTTTGTCCAGTCCTGCTCAATACCATGCGGTTCACGGTTGCCCAACGTTACTGTTGCTATTTTTGACTTCAAATTATACTATATATCCTAAAGATTGAAGAAGGATATATTAAAGGGATAGATTGAAGAAGGATAGATTGAAGGGATTCACGCAGCTTCATTGGCTCCACCTATCAAATAGAAATGTGCTTCGGTTGCGGTCTACAAATTGGCTTACCTTTTGGCACCTTTACTCCAAGCAAAAAGTCTTATCTAATTATAACTAAAATATTAAGTTGAGCAGTAAAGAAAAAGTTTTGAATTCTTGTTTCGTATTGAATGTAGGAAATCTGGAATTTTGTTAAGTTCTATTACTACTTGAAACATAAACTCTGATCTAATTGGAAACAAAAACTTAAGTTGGATACTAAGGGAACAATCTTTGAATTCTTGTTCTGTATTAAATGCAGGAAATCCGCAATTTTTCTTAGTTTTATTAGAACTTGAAAGAGCATTTCTTACCTTGCTAGGATCTCTCCATTCATTTCCATAGCCAATATGTTCAAGCACCGAACTTTTCTCAGCCATCTCAGCATGAATATATGCCTGAGACATACGGGATCATATAGAATATGCTAAAAGGTAGTATGACAAAACAATGATGTTGATTTGTCAAGTAATAAACATTTCAACTAACCCGTTCAGATATTACCGATCTTTCAGCCTTTTCCGTATTCAAATACATTGGTAGAGGACTACAGTGGGGACCATAGATGGTCTCAGTTTTAATGGCTGATGGTTCAGTTGCCAGCAAAATATTGGTGCACAAATCTTGATAACTTGATGTATTGTTAAAAGCACTCAACTCTGAAACTGAAGATGGTACTACTGATTGCAGCGTATCTTCCATATCAAGAAAACCAAGCGAGGCGGCTGAAAACGGTGAGATCTCATCTTTGGTGACAGTGCTCCATTGCGCAAGTATAGTGCCAATGTTTCTCCAAAGACAAATGTTTCAGTTAAAAGTAGAAAGCATGAAAACTAATAAGGTAATGACATTGTAATTTGTATGTAAGAGGCAAGATGCATGTTTACCTGTTTACTCTGTTAAAATCCTCAAAATCTCCAATAATATTAGGACAATCATAAAACTGCATATCATCCTCTCTATCCCTTTGCCCATTTCTCAATACAGTACCAAAAGCATTGGCTGAGGAAATATCACCATATTTTTTGTGATGTGCAGAACCCCTTTTCCCCTGGAATGGATAATCCGAGCATAATGTGTTGTTTCCTGTACCTTCTTCATCTTCTCCAAAAGAACTAGTGGAGATTTTAGGCGCTTGGCAATCTAAAATGGTGTTGCCTGTGCTGTACTTTTTGAGGTCTAATGCTTGAACCGTTTTTTCAGATTGAAGAGACCATGAAGGAACCTTTATGTTGGAACTTCCCTCTTTTAGAGCAGACGGAAGCACTCTTTCATCTTTTCTTGGTAGAGAAGGTACGTTTGCAGGACTTTTGCTGAATATACTTGTTTTGACACGACTTACTGCTTCATATAGTTGCTTCTTATGAGAATCATTAAAAGTCACAGATTCGAGTGCCTGTTCACCATCTTGAAAAGGAAGAGAATGATCGAAACAACTATTTTTATTGCCAAAAGTGTCTTGTATCTGAAACATCAGGTAATTACCACGAAATTTTATTAGGCACATGACATTTATTAATGTGGGGCAAAAGTAGGCCACCAAAAGTGGCTAAGATATGTGATACTGCCTGCGATGATATTTAGGAATGCATTACAAGTATTTATTTCATCAAGTCAAAAATTAAAGAATAGTTCCTGCCTTTTTAGTTTAAAGCATGTTTGAAAACTAGAAAAAATATAAATTATATGAGAATGTGGGAAAAATAGATATCGCGACTCATGATGAGCACATAATATCGAGGACAGAAGTCACGGATAGGTTATTTAAGTTAAAGGGTAAGTGGATATTAAATTTTTATAATTCATTTCCCTTTTATTTATCTGCAAAATAATATGCATATCTGTAAAGAGATCAGTTAATTTAGCACAAAATCTCTATGTTCCTTATTGTGCTTTATTATGGAACCATGTTCCAAATGCCTCGTGGTTTAATGTTCTACTGAACAAACGGGAAGATGCTGAAAAATGCTTTATCTGACTATTGTGATAAATCACATGTATACTATTGGATAAACAGAAATTCAACCTGTGATGGTAATTTGACAATATAAAATTATGGAGGACGCTTACCAATTAAATGTCTCCTGATCTTCGCGAGAAAAAAACTTGACAACTTGCAGTTAAAATAGAAATACCTAACAGTGGTTTTTCTACTGATTCAATTTTACATGTATTTCAGAAGAAAATTTTAACGGGAGGCCACAAAATTATTTCCATTTAGTTAAAGTCAAAATCATTAAAAAATTCAGTCATAAGCTTATAGTCTTTTTTTATTTCATTTTATTTCACTACCTCACTTGTGATGATGTGAAATATAATGGTGATCTATAAAATTTCATCAAATTACAAGTTTTGCTAATAGGCCTGCATCAGCGTGATCTGTGGCACAATGCATAATGCCTATGCCTAGATGTAGGAAGAATCACAGACCTTCATTCACAAGAAGAAAATATGGGAAGAGCGGAAACTAAATATCATTATCATAAACTAATCAATATCCAATAGCATGTTAAAATAACTAAAATCTTCTAAAACAATGAAAAAAAAATCAACATCCTAAATGCTTATGTTGGCCAGCATAATCTTTGCAATCCAAGATCAGATGACACTATTCAATCAAATTTCATTTGAATATTTTGCCTCTAAAAATGAGGAAATGTTTGAGAAAACACAATATTTATCTCATGGTAGTAGGTTTAAGAGTTGCAATACTTATAGGAAAAAGTACCTCAATTGGTTGGCTCAGGATGACAAGAAACTAAGAGTTAAGAACAGCTATAACCGACCCTATGTAAGAGAAAAAAAAATAGAAATAAACTAAACCGATCATTTATTGAGTGCTTTAGGTGAGGATATCATTAGTTTGTTTTTTTGTTTGAGTATAACTAACTAGGCTAAATCGTTATACAATTTAGTCCTTTATAAAGTATTTATCAATCTCAACGTGCTTATTCTATCATGGTAGGCTCCATTCTTAGGAATGCTAATAGTAGGTAATTATCACATACCATTATCGTTGATTATGCAGTGAGAGCTTTTACATCTTCAAAGAGATGTTTAAGTACATACCTTCACAAATTTCATGGGCAATAGCCTTCAATTCTTCCGCAGCATTGTAGCAACAACAAATTATATTTTACTTATTGATACTGTTTTAGGGCTCCTAGATGGTATTCAAGATGCGGGTTTAGAAGGGATGTGAGTGTGAAATAGTAAGGGAAAGATAATATGCGAATCGACGGTGTTTGGAGTGGATTATGAGGATAAGGTGACTATTGGACAGCAGTTTGGCATCAATCAGTGGCTGTCCCGCGAGCTGTAGGTCGGAAAGCAGCGATTTCCTGCCGGAAACATCAAGTAACAGCGAGTTGGATGGCTGCTCGTCTGAAAATAGTAGGTCGGATGGCGATACGACGATATACTGGTTGTAAAGGGGTTCCATAATCTGTTCCTAGGCAAGATATAAACACACCACTTGCAAAAGGAAATGCTATAACACTCTGGAGAGCGATATTTAGAGAGAACACTTCTCAATTCGTCAAATCAGAAAACTCTGAAGCCAAAATCCTACTATGTCATATATAAAAGCCCCTCATAGAAAAAATAAGGGACTTCTATATGAGAAAGTAGGAAAGAACTTGAAAGGAAGGAAGCAAATGGAGGGAAATTGTTGAAAATAACATAAAATAAATTAAACGAAACTTCTTCTGCCGCTATTCCCGCACTCGTGGAATTGCTATAATTGCGGTATCGCTGGATTCCCACAATCGGGTTTTGGGATTCAGCGATCTCTCAGTTGAGTGGGATGCTCTGCATCATTCTGTCCAGCTAGGAGCGGCTTCTTCTTTAGAAGAGCCTTGATCCCATTATTGAATGTTCTTTCTCGTAAGACACCTGTCACGATTTCGAATGTAGTGTCTCACCACTACCATTTGACTATCTATCTGGGATGATATTGATGAACTGAGTTGAAACTTAACACCCATATTACTTCATATAGCATTGTTTATCTAAGGAGACTAGTTTGATTCGACCTTAGTTAACAGAGAGCTTGGTGCCTTATTAGTGTGATTCATAACTCAATGTGGTAAAAACTACGAGAAACATATAGGCTAAAACATTGATTCTAATATAGTAGAGCCTCACATTGACAAAGTATTTGGGTCACATCTTTGCAAAAAACAAATTATTGAATATGAATATAATAGTATACTTGACATGACATTGTATTTTTGTGAATATGGAGGGTGGATTAAATCATATGATTCTTGAGATTGGGTTGCGGGATTCTATGATCCCACAGCTGAGCAGGATGACCTGCATCATTTATTGACATGATTAAATTTTACCAAATATGTGTAATAACTAAGTGTAGATTTACATAAGATACAATTCTTCTCTAGTTAGCATGAATGATTATTTCAATAGTTATTTCAACCCTGTTCTCTAAGAATAATTTTTCGCGAAAGTGTATTTTTAAGATATCATAATATCCTATATACAACATGAGGATGCTTGCTTGTAGGAGTGTTTATAAATTGACTAATAATACCAAAAGGAAAATAAATATCAAGTCTATTATGGGATATGAGATAGTTTCCTTACTATTCTTTGGCTATCACACTTTGTCAACCTTAGTTCAATCTTCTTTAAAAGAATCTCTATTTAAAGAATTCTTTCACATGTTTGTAGGACTAACCCAAGCATCATAAACTTAAGAAAATCCAAGCTATATTTTTGTTAAGTGATGCATATTCTCTTGCTTGATCTAGCTATTTTCATACCTAGCATCAATTATCTTAACCAGCTAAGGTTATTGATTTCAATTTCTTTTACTAAGATAGATTTTAGCTTTTCTATATTTTTTTATGATCATCTATCAAGATGATATCATCAATAAAAACAAGCATGATAGAAATTTTACCTTCGCACAATTTTTTGGTATTGACCTTCATATCTACACCGCAACTCGAATCAAGTGAAGCTAATCAAAGGATATACAACATACAAGATTGTGCGAATTGGGTCCAAATTGCCTCATGTATAGTCGAAATAGCCAAAAAGTCTCTCACTCACAAAACGGATTATATGAATGCATTTAAAATACCAAATTTACCTAAAAAGGATGTTTTTTTTTATTGATTTAATCAAGTGTCACAAAAACGATGATCTAAAACGTGATGTCACACGAACCAGATTTGAAATGCTTAAATTATCATCAAAATGACTCAAATGTCATTCAACCATAAATTAAACTGAATCGATAAGAGTCGAACATCAAATCTACCCAAAAATGATATATATATTTTTGGTTCTTCTCACAATTACAAAATATAAAATTAGCCTACATATAAGATGATGACATGAAATAGACACATGCGGTCGAACAACAAAATTTATGAACAAAAATACATATGAAAATTAATTGATTAATAATTAATTAATAATCTTATTATATATAAATAATTGGAACATGTTTAAAAACAAATCAACAACAACAACAATACTAATACTAATAATAATAATAATAATGATAATAATAATAAAAGCCAATAATTGCTACCAATTTTCTTACTCGTCTCTGTTCATACCCGTGCAATGTTGAAGCCATCTTGTGGCCATTTCCTCCATATCGTCTGTTGCAGTTGAAAAAATCAAACCTTAAATCTAAGGTTATTTACGAGCTCCCTTTATTTGCTCTATTTACTCTTTGAGTAGCTACCGATCTCTCTTCCCTCTTCGTCTCGCTCCCTTACATATGCAAACCTCCATCTCTGCTCGATGCAACAACTACCCAACTCGTCCATTGTCGTTAGTCCATTCTTGCTATTCTCCTTCACTCTTGCACTCTCGATTCACCATCTACCCACAACAACGACAATCTTGGCAAAATTTTAGTAGCCCCGCGAACATGCCTCATCTGCTGTGTCTCTCTCTTGATAGAGGATCCTTGTGGACATCTATTGGTTGTTTTATTCAAGATAACCTTATTGACTTGGGTTGGTATGTTTATCTAAGGAGACTAGTTTGATTCAACCTTAGTTAACAGAGAGCTTGGTGCCTTATTAGTGTGATTCATAACTCAATATGGTAAAAACTACGAGAAACATATAGGCTAAAACATTGATTCTAATATAGTAGAGCCTCACATTGACAAAGTATTTGGGTCACATCTTTGCAAAAAACAAATTATTGAATATGAATATAATAGTATACTTGACATGACATTGTATTTTTGTGAATATGGAGGGTGGATTAAGTTTGCTTGATTTTAAGTGATATAATATTTATTTAAATATTTAGATTTTTATGGTATGAGAACTTAATTTTATGAATAAACATCTCTAATTGATATTCACATTCAATATAATTATTATCGGGATGACATTTGAAATACTTGAATTTATAGTTGAAGTTTAGTTGGAGCTTGTTATTTGAATATTATCAAGCATCAATCCTGTAAACTTTAGTCATTGTGAGGACGGGTGTCAGACTTAGTGAGAGAAACCTCAGTCTTGTTAATTTTGGTCTTAATCAAGAGGATGTTATGAAAAATAACGACAATAAAAATGAAAAAATAGGATAAAAATATTGCAAACAAGAAATAACACACAAATTTACGTGGTTCGAC